CCCCCCCCAGCCACGGACTTGTGCCAGGTCATGGGATGCTCCTGGGCTGGTTGCTCATCTCCTCTGACTGTACTCCTTCAGTCGAAGCTCCTTCCTTTTGATTTTACCCGTGACAGTTTTGGGCAATTCTGCAACAAACTCCACCTGGTAGAGAAGAAAGCCATCCTGACTTAGGGCTGCTGCGGTTCCCTTCCCGTTCCACACCCTGCTTCACCCCACCTCCCTCCACAGGCTGACACCTGAGGAGACCTCCATGGCCTCCACCGAGTCTTGCAGGTTTCTCCTGATTGCCGAAGGAGGGTGCAGTCATGTAACTTGCTTTGACCCACAAACTGTGAGTGGAAGTGGAACGTGTCCTCTCCAGTCGGAAGATTTGGGAACCAGCCACTACTATCTCTATCTCTTACAGGACAAGGCAGGTGCCTCTATGGCTACCCCATCCCAGGATGAAGGATGTGGGGCAGAGGTTACAGAAGAGTCATGATAGACATGAACAGGAGACCTTCACTGCTATCAACCTCCATTGTTTGGGGGACTTGTACTATATACAGTTACATGTGACCCTCTCTGATGGGAAGTAAGGTCTTCTGATCTCTGGCTGGGGTTGTTGTCACGCATACTTTTGAATTCCAACACTCCTTTTACTGAGTGCAACCTCAGGTAACTTGAGACTCAGCTTCGTCCCTAAAAAACACGCGTGCATGCTCTTGGACTGTGGACAGGCTTCAGTAACAGTGTACTGGGGCTGGAGCCGGGCACCGAAGTAAGTACTCTAGTACACGATACTCGTTAGCCCTGCAGCCTCCCAGCACGTGCACCTTGGTAAACATGTGGATGGTGCAGGAATGCACCACAGCAGAAGGAAACAATGACTTTCTGACAGTTATGTCTCCATTTTAAACCAGCAGGGCAGTACTAGGCACAGTCCTTCACAGCTTGCTTTTTCTCCTTCTCTACTGATAAGGCATTTTATGTCAAAAATAAAAAAAAAATCTGAAACCGGACATGATGGTACATGCCTGTGATCCTGACACTCAGAAGACTGAGGCAGGGGGATTGTAAATTTGAGGCCAGTCTGTTTACATAATGAGTTTGAGGCCAGTTACACCAAGAGACACTGTCTCAAAAAAAAAAAAAAAAAAACAAACCAAAGACAAAAACAATGTAGCAGAATGTTAAGTAAAACAAAATGAAAAAACTTTACCACCTGTTTAAATTACAGGACAATTTTCAATTTTGTGACTAAACAATTTCAGTATTATTGGATATTTTTTGCATGCTACACATGGCACTTGAAAAGCATCTCAAAATACATTGTATATTCTAAGAATAAATATTTTGTTTCCTTTTGTTAGCTTTATGTATGTTATTGGGGTTGAAAAATAGCGTTTATTTCTTACTATGAATCACATTAAAAAGTCTGAAAAGTATCCACTTTGATTTCTTCTTAAATTTTACAGGATAATAACATTCATACATTTTTAGGTGCTTTCCTGATCTTTTTCTTATGTGCAAAGTTAATGTGCCTCAATAAGTTCATTTCTGGTACAGGGTGGAGAGTTCCCAAGAAACAAAACCTTTCGGCTGACTGAACTGTCTCCCCACCCCACCATTGCTGCCCTGTGAGTGGTGAAGCAGCAGCCACTGGGAGCCCAGCACGGCTGAAGTCACCAGCCGGGGCGGTCAGGCCTGGCTCACCTTTCTGGGGTACTTGTACGGCGCTGTCACTGACTTCACATGCTGCTGCAGATCTTTGGTCAGCTGTTCCTGATTGTGCAGCAGGAACTCGGGGGTCAGGACAACAAATGCCTTCACCACCTGCAGAATGGGAGTGGAGGTTCAGATGCACGCCATCTCACAGAGCTTGCTAAACAATGTTTATCGAATGGACAAATCCACTGTAGGCTTGAGTTGATGCTGGAGACTAGGGGTTACGTGGGAAAGGAGAGGGCCAGGTTCAAATCCATGCCCTCCCCATTTCCACTGCATGCCTTGGAAAAACACCTGGCCTCTCCTCACCTTAATTTCCCTCTCTGTGAAATGGGTACAATAGGAGCACATTCTTCACAGTTTTTTTAAGATTCCATGAGAACACAAAGTATGTATGAAACACATGACCTGCATAAATTTGTTATTACTATTATCACCACTATTAATATCAATATGTATTTACTGTGTATATTGTTCTGTATCTTGAACTCAATGGGCAATAATAATTAAAATAATAAATCAAAACAGCAATGGTTGTTATTAAAATGTTGTGATAATTTATTTTACACTATTAGTTATATCCCCACTTACTTGCACAAGTCCTGGTACACAGAAGTGTTCAATAGATATTGTTGAGCCAATGAATGCATGTTCTGGAGCTTGCATTCGTGAGGTGTGTGTGTGTGTGTGTGTGTGTGTGTGTGTGTGTGTGTGTGTGTGTGTTACTGTAACTTCTCTGCAATGATGCATTGTTATCATCAACTGTAAGCCAAAATAAACCCTTTCTTCCCTTAGTTGTTTTTTTGTCAGGATATTTTATCATAGCAACAAAAAGGAAGCTGAAGGACCCATTGAGTTATCTGGGAGGCTGGGAGCTTGCGTTTTAAACGCACTGCACTGCTTTCTGACCTTAGACAAGCTACTTAGACTCCCCACGCCTTTCTTTCCTGTAATGAGAATGTAAGATCAGACCTTGGAGTACTGGGTTTTGATTTACTTAGTGTTTTTTTTTTTTTTTGCCACATCTCCAGCCTCAGGCTATTGGGTTTCCTGAGGATGCAATGATTTGGCACAGGGCAGCTCTTTCAACATCAACCTTTTTTCAGTCACTGAGGCCACAGTGCCCCCTGGTGACCACAAAGTGCACGCACACACCAGCGGCTCGACTTCCATCCTAGGTTCCCAGTTTATGCTAAGGCCTTGAAAGTATCCCTACCCCTGTCTCTCCAGCCCCTGCTGGAGAGGGCTTCCGTGTCCTCCTTACCTCTCCTCGATTCAGGTCCGGGCTGCTCACCACGGCCGACTCCGCCACCGCCGGATGCTCCGCCAAGGCGTTCTCCACTTCTGTAGGCCCAATGCGGTACCTGGAGAAACAACTGTTCTGAGAAGACGCCAGGGCTGCAGAGAACCAAGCCTGAAACCTTGTACTTCGAGGGTCACATGGCCACTTGACACGGAGGGTGGAGGTCATAGACAGCCAAAGACTCCAGACTAGTATTTTGGACTGACAAAATGAAGTATTTAGTATTAAAACTTCCGGGCTCAGGTGTTCCTGGGGATGGCTCACTTTGTGCTCCTGGAGAGGGAGGTGGCAGGGTGACAGCTCCCTGAGGGAGGAGCTCTGGATGTTTGGCTCAAGCAGCTTCCCTCAGCCCCAGAGTCCTCGAGATGCTCAAATCGTGTCCTAGCAAAGGCTGTGTCCTATTCCCTCATCTCGGTGTGCTATTTTATCCTTTAGTTCTTTGCTCCTCCCTTCCTTTTCTTTCTTCCTTTCCTGGTACTAGGGATTGAACCTAGGCCCCCACACATGGAAGGGTTTCCCCAACCCACCTTTAAAAATTTGAGAAAGATAGGGTTTTAGTAAGTTCCCCGGGCTGGCCTTGAGATCACTCTGTTGCCCAGGCAGCCTTGGACTTAGGATCCTTTTGCCTCAGCCCTCTGAGTGCCTGGAATTACAGGCCTGAGTACTACACTCTTGGCTCCTCCTCCTAACTATGTAATGTTTTACTCCCATGAACGTCATTTTAATTAAATCTTTTGGGTGCAGGGGTGTGGAGGCACCCAAACACTGAGGTATTAGGATATCCCAGACATGGACTCTGTTCAGAGTCAGGCTGAGGGTCCCATCACTAAGGCATGAAGGAATGTCAGGGAGGCAGAGTGCCATGAAGCATTTGAGGGTGCCGAGAGCCAGCCCAGGGCCAGCCACACCTACCCAGAAGCATTGATGACATCATCACTCCGGCCCAAGAACCAGAAGTAGCCATCTTCATCAACCGTTGCTCTATCTCCACTGTTGTAAAAATCCCCACATTCTACTTCAGCTGTCTTCTCTGGGCTATTCTGTAAAGAGAACGGAGTGTTTTTGTTGAAGGGAGTGAACTTAGAGTTGATGAGCTTGGGGTCCTGTCTGGGTTTGAATTCTGCACCTGGCACTGGACAAGTCCACACACTGTGGGCTGCAGCTCCATCCACGAGGCGCCGTTCAGCTCGTGTTTAAAAAACAGCATCTTACTTTTGCGGGCCTCTCCATCAGAACAGAGTTTCCATTCTCGTGAGAACCCTGGTTTTATTCAGCTCAGCATGTGCAGTGCTGGGACAGCTGAGAAGGATCAGCAGCCACGGTGAGTGAATCCCCTTTGCCAAGTGCTATCTAATCTGATCCTCACATGAGGCAGGTGCTTCATAAGGCAAGCTTTCCTATGATAATACAGAACAATGTAAAGTAAGAAGAATAATAAGAATAAGAAACAATACCAAGAAATCCAATATGCCCTTTATCTAGTTTCTTCCAATGGTAATGTCTTGCAAAGCTATTGTTTAATATTCCAATCAGGATATGGACATTGATCCAGTCTCTAATCTCTTCCAGATTTCCTGAAGTTTACTCGTGTGTGTGTGTGTGCGTGTGCGTGTGTGTGTGTGTGTGTGTGTGTGTGTGTGTGTGTGTGTGTG